TGGAGAAAAAAGAATTTAAAAATTCCTAAAACACCTGCACAAGTTTTGCATCATTTATCTTTCTTCCTTTAAATTATAAACGGATTAGTTTTGATAATTTTCATTTACTTTGTAACAAGATTTTCATGAGTCAATAAATGCTGTATTTGGCAATCTTATATGACATTCATACCTTGATTTGTATTATGTTTGCATTCTACATTTGAAAAAAATTGAAAATTCTCTAATACATTTTTCAATATATTTTTATTTTTAATCATGTTTTTGTCTCATATACATTTAAAAGTGCTGAAATAAAAAAAAATATAAGCAAATAATTTTCATTCCAAATGCACTAAATAATTTTATTTCGGTTAAAATAAGTATTGCTATCGACATTGGGATAAATACATTGAGTTGGTCAAATTTCTTTTTTTGTGAATTATCTAATTCATTTTAAAGCTAAAATATCTAAATACATGCATTTAACAACTACTAGAGATTTTTTGGCTGTGCCTTGCCCAATATATTGTGTCGAAAATATTGAAAAATTTCCCTGTATTCTCATTTCTCTGAACAATGATATGTAAATTCTTGCCAAGTTGTATGTATTGTCCACGCAAATGCATAACTCGTAGAACTGAAGCATTGAAGTAATTGTTAACTTAATTGGATTGCTAATTAAGCTGTTTAATGGGCGAGACCACAGTGGTAAAGTTCACTAAAAATTTTATGAGGAAGACATTAATTTTTGCTCTTATATTTTAGACATCAATCAATTACTTCTCATATTGGCTGCAAGCCTGCAAGGAAGGACCTTAAGAAGGGATGTAAATCTTATGTCATTGTGGACCATAATGAAGTGCTTGCATACTTCCATATAAACCACGAAGAGTCTAGACAAAGGAGCACATATGCAATATGAAAAATAAACATGAATGAAGAACTCAATAAACGTAAATTCATTAAGTCACAGTACAAAGTCTTTCTTTCACACATTTTTACAATAGTTTGTACAGCTCCAACAAGAATTGGGAGCGAAAAAAAAATTCAAATCTTGGGCTAATTCAACCATCTTGGACTTTAAATTATCAAATATGCATAATAAAGATCTCTAAACACCACCACAACAAATTCACTGAATAGTAGAAGAATAGTTCATAACTTCACAAACACTTTGAAATTCCTTCCAGCCCCAAATGTTTGATGCCAACACGTCACGTTTATTCCAGTCCCAAACGCTGCCATGCGGACAATGATTTTCGTATAGCACTTTGAAATTCCGTTAGAGAATCCTAATAATGTCAGCATTGATATTAAAAAGGTTCTTTAGTCATTGCTAGTTTCCTAGGAACTCCAACAGGAATAATCACAAGATGCATGCGAGTGAGGGTATCCTCCAATTGCTCTTTTTTTACAAAACCATGCAGCTAGAAATGTAAACCATATATTATCAGTCTCTGTCAAATTGAATAATGTGGTGCTTCTGGATGAAAAGCCAATAATACATAATTGATATTAGTAACAAGTAACTTGAGGGTATTTGTTGGGCAACACTAAAATACCAGCACCTTGCACACTGGTTTTACAAAACAGTAATGCTAACTTTAATATCATTTAATAATACTCTGCTAGTCAAGTGGCACACATGAAATTTTAAGGTATATCTCAATTAGCTAGGACTATCTACTTGAAATCAAGAAAAGAAATTACATCAAAGAATCAATTCATTCACTCACCACTAAAGGCAAATCAAACCATAATAAATAGCATTTTAAGAACCACAAACACAAATATTTAAATTGTAAAATATTACCTTCTTTTGTGGGGTTTTGGTAGGTTCTTCCTCATTCGCAGAAGTTTCTTTTTCATCTCGGAAGATGATTCATCTGAGCTGCTTATCTTTGGTTGCACAGGCTGTCAAAGTTAAATTCAAGCATTGAACATATAAGTGAAATGTTAAGGTCCCACAAAAGTCAAATGCCATTAATAATATATCTCGCTACCTTGTTTGCTTTTGGCGGTTCCTCATCAAATTTTTCATCTGAACTTTCTGTAAACTAAGAAAAATGGAGAGAAAAAAATACTTTTCTTCTATTTCACTTTGGACTATACAATATACAAATATATATATATACACAAGTGGATACTATAATCATATGATACTATAATCATATTATTACCTAATTAATATATGATACTATAATCATATGATACCTAATTAATATATGATACTATAATCAAATCTTTCCTAATATTTATATTATCAAATCTTTCCATAATATCAGATCACATATCTTCAACACTCCCCCTCAAGCTGGTGAATATAGATCTTCCATTCCCAACTTGGCAACACTTTCATGAAACATGTTGCTACACAGTCCCTTTGTCATCACATCTGCAAGTTGAAGTCCTGTCGGAACATATGGAGTACAAATCAGTCCACTTTCTAGCTTCTCTTTAATAAAGTGCCTGTCTATCTCTATGTGCTTCGTTCGATCATGTTGCACTGGGTTGTGAGCTATACTTATAACAGATTTGTTATCACAATATAGCTTCATCGGTTTGCTCCATTGAATCCTCAAGTCTTCTAGGATAATTTTAACCCACAATAATTCACATACCCCTACTGCCATAGCCCTGAACTCTGCTTCAGCACTTGACCTTGCTACCACACTTTGTTTCTTGCTTCTCCAGGATATTAAGTTTCCTCCAAGAAATGTACAATATCCTGAAGTTGATCGCCTGTCAACTGGAGACCCTGCAAAGTCTGCATCTGTGTAAACTGCCAGATCAATTTCAGGACCCTTTTTGAATAAAATTTCCTTCCTTGGATGTGCCTTTAAGTAATGAAGCACTCGATAAACTGCTTGTAGATGAACTGCTCTAGGATCATGCATAAACTGACTAATAACACTGACTGAGTAAGCTATATCTGGCCTAGTATGTGCGAGATAAATGAGTTTCCCAACAAGTCTTTGGTACATCTCTTTGTCCACTGCTGTATCTCCATGAGCCTCACTTAATTTGTGATTCTGCTCAATGGGAGTTCCAACTGGTTTGCTTGCTGTCATGCCTGTTTCCTTGAGCAGGTCCATAACATACTTCTGTTGAGAAATAAAAATTTCCTGCCTTGATCGAGCCACTTCAATTCCCAGAAAATATTTCAATTTTCCTAAATCCTTTATTTCAAATTCCTTGGCTAGGTACCACTTCAAAGTTTTCTTCTCTACTTCATCGTTTCCTGTCACTATGATGTCATCTACGTATACAATCAAAACAGTAACTCCCCCCAAGGCTGAATGCTTGATGAACAGGGTATGATCTCCTTGACTTTGCATGTAACCATTAGCTATCATTACCTTGGCAAATCGTCCAAACCAAGCACGTGGGGATTGTTTCAGCCCATATAATGCCTTTTTTAACCGACAAATCTTGTTCTTGTCAACCCCACTGAATCCCGGTGGAATGCTCATATAAATCTCCTCTTCTAACTCTCCATGAAGAAAAGCATTCTTCACATCGTATTGCTGTAATTCCCAATCAAAATTAACAGCCAAGGATAGCAAAATTCTCACTGTATTCATCTTTGCTACTGGAGCAAATATTTCCCGATAATCTACTCCATATGTCTGTGTGTAACCTTTCACGACTAACCTTACCTTGTAGCGTTCTAGGGACCCATCTGCTTTAAACTTTACTGCATACACCCATTTACAGCCCACTACTTTCTTGTTCTTTGGTAAATCAACTAATTCCCAGGTCCCATTCTTCTCTAATGCATCCATTTCTACTTTCATAGCAAGTCTCCATTCTTTCTTTGATAATGCTTCAGACAATGAGCTAGGAATAGAGACTGTATTTAAGGTGGAAAGGAAGCTTTGATGGCTCGGGAAAAACTTCTCAAAAGACACAAAGTGAGACAATGGATATAGGGGTCTTTTGGTGCATTCTCGGGATTTTTTCCTTACAGCAATAGGTAGATGTAGGTCCTGGTCAAGGCTCAGAGGCTCAGGACAAGGTAATTTAGAGCTGGAAGAATGGTCGGTCGGTGTTGTAGAATTCAGATTTGATTCACTCATTGTTACCTCATTCCCGGAGCTTGGTTTAGAGGATTGTTCTTGCCTTGTAACCACGATGGGATCTCCTTTCCTTGTATACACTTGGTCAAATCGGAACCAGTCATAGATTTTACGGTCTTCCTTTTTTTCTTCTATCACATCAGATTGAAGAATTGACTCTTGGAATTCAGATTTGGATGACTCAGATGTGGTCAACTCTAAGGAGGAAAATTTTAACTCCTTATCTTCAAGTGTATCTAACTCCCCCTGAAGATAAGGAGTGATGAAATAGGGCTTATTTTCAACAAATGTAACATCTGCCGAGACATAGAGTTTTCTAGTCGGTGGATGATAACATTTGTAACCCTTTTGAGTAGATGAGTACCCCACGAAGACACACTTAAGAGCACGAGGATCTAACTTCCCACGGTTATGACTATGGACATGAACAAAGGAAGTACATCCAAAAACTCGAGGAGTGAGATTAAAGAAAGATCGAATATCGGGGTAAAATTTGGATAGGTTCTCTAGTGGATTTTGAAACCCCAAGACCTTGGAAGGAATTCTATTTATGACATAAGCTGATGTGAGTACAGCTTCTCCCCAATATGCTTTTGGCACACTTTGTTCAAACAGTAAGGCTCTAGTGCACTCAAGAAGATGTCGATTTTTCCGTTCTGCCACTCCATTTTGTTGTGGAGTGGCAATACAGGATGATTCATATATGATTCCTTCTTTTTGGAAAAACTGACTCAAGATTTGATTGAAATAATCACGAGCATTATCTGAATGAAAGTGTTTTATCTTGGTGCCAAATTGATTTTGAATCATTGCATGAAAAACAGGGAAAATATAACTCAAATCAGACTTATTTTTGAGTAAATAGATCCAAGAGACTCTTGTGCAGTCATCGATAAATGTGACAAACCACTTAGACCCTGAGATGTTTGGAATAGTTGATGGCCCCCAAATATCACTATGGATTAAAAAGAAAGGAGAAGACGATCGTTTATTACTGATAGGAAATGGGACACGAGTGTGTTTAGCATACTCGCAAATATCACAATGAAAAGACTGAACATCAAATCCCTTGAACAAGGAAGGAAACATTATTTTTAATGCAGAAAAAGATACATGACCTAGACGTCTATGATGTAACCAGATGACATCTTTATTGGAGGGTGAAGACAATGTGGAGAGGGCAGATTTACTAAATTCTGGTTGACTTGATGTATCCAAGTAATAGAGTCCATCATGCTCCTTAGCTAGTCCAATCCTCTTCCCCGAGCCCCGGTCCTAAAAGTCACAATAGGATTCATCAAATATAACAGAGCCAGCTAGACCCTTGGAAAGTTTTTTTACAGAAACCAAATTTGTAGATAATCGAGGAACATGAAAAATATTTTTAAGAATCAAATTTGGAGTAACTTAGACATCTCCGATACCTGCCACAGTGGTTGTAGTACCATCTGCAACAACAATCTTTCTATTGCTAGGACAGGGATAATAGGTTTTGAATTTATTTGAAATATGAGTCATATGGTCCGTAGCACCAGAGTCAAGAATCCAGACATTCCTAAGCTCATTGCCTAAAACACTAAATGCAAAAGAGACTAGAGCCTTACCTGAAAGTGTCAATGAACACATACCCGGATTCCTTGATTGAGAATTGTTAGTTGCTGGTTTGTCAACTGTCTCTAACATACTTTTAAGCTTCTCAATTTCCTCCATACTAAACCCTCCAATCACTTGAGTTGGATCTTGAACCGACATATGAGCCTGCCTTTATTGGCCACCTTTTTGTCCCCATTCACGAGTGGGTGGTTTCCCATGTAGTTTCCAGCATTGATCTATGGTGTGTCGTGGTTTCTTGCAGTATGTGCACCACAACTCCTCGCGATTCTTTTGCCCACTTGTTTGATTGGTCTTGTCCGCAGCAATCTTGTTCAGTACCACCCGCTGAGATTTGGAACTTAAAATGGCTGAATTTTCTATTGAAGGTAACTCTAACATAATACCCCTGCGACTTTCTTCTCCACGTACTTGGGATATTGCTTCTGTTAAAGAAGGAAACTCTGGCCTGCCCAGAATTTGAATTCGTACAAGATCGAATTCAGAGTTTAGGCCAGCCAAAAAATCATAAACTCGATCCCTTTCTATGAACTTCTTGATAAACACTGCACATTTGCTACAGTTCAAATCAAGTGCCCTGTAATAATCCAGTTCCTGCCACTGATTTTGCAGAAAATTGGCATACTCCGTCACTGTTTTTGTCCCTTGTTTTGCTCCAGTTGTCTCTGTCTTGATGTCATAGATAAGAGCTGCATCATTAACCTTAGAATATGTCTGATGAAGGACATCCCAAATTGCCTTTGCTGTAGGAAGAAACATACATGTATCGCTGATTTCATGAATCATGGAATTCCATAACCAAGACATGATCATTGAATCCTCTTGTTCCCATGCTTCAAACCCCGCCGTTTCACTATCCGGTGCTATTTCCAATAGATGACTCAATTTTCCTTTTCCTTTCAGGAATGTTCGAACCAATTGAGACCACTTCAAATAATTTTTTCCATTTAGTCTATATGCTGCCTGGATGTTTTGAAGCTCTGTTGTGTTCCGTGTACTTTGTTCTTCTTCCATAGTTGAAGACAATTGCCGCGTTGAGGATGTAGCATCCGCCATGATTGAATAGGACGGGGGAAAAAAATGTATAGTAACAGGAACAGCAGTGAAGGCTGGAGAGAATAAGAAAGGAACCAGCAATTAAGGCTGGAATTGACAAGAAGCAAAGGTGGTATTTTTCCCAGAACCCTAGATGAGCTCTGATACCATGTAAACTAAGAAAAATGGAGAGAAAAAATACTTTTCTTCTATTTCACTTTGGACTATACAATATACAAATATATATATACACAAGTGGATACTATAATCATATGATACTATAATCATACTATTACCTAATTAATATATGATACTATAATCATATGATACCTAATTAATATATGATACTATAATCAAATCTTTCCTAATATTTATATTATCAAATCTTTCCATAATATCAGATCACATATCTTCAACACTTTCCTCTTCACTACTACTTACTATGTTCCCTGCCTTTAGCACTGGATTTCAGAACACCAGAGGGCTAGAGAACCCCACAAAGAAATAATTACAAAAGCCAACTGATATGATAAAAGGCAACAAAAATGCATACTTGAAAATTACATACGACAACTTTACTATTCTTTTTTTGAGGCTCCTCATCTTCACTTTCCTCATCAGAAGTGTCTTCCTCACTATTGTCTTTATTCAGGTGCACTTGCAAAGCTAAAATAAAAAATGCATATACCAGTCAAAAAAACATGTCATTTTTAACGCTTTAAGCATACGAAGCTATTACCTGCTTGTTTTCAGCTGCAAAGGAAGGCCTCTTGGGAGAAACAACTTTAGGAGGTGGTGACTACCATTTGATAAAGTAGCAAAACAAGGAAATATCAGGAATTAGAAAACAAAATGTAGAAAGAACCAGAATACCTCTCTAAAGAAATATATGTCGTCCATATTTCGAACAAATACCATGAATTATGAAAAAATTGAATGACATACTTGTCCACAGCCATACGCAAGCTTCACAATAACTTGAAACTTAAGCTCAGCCATGTTCTCACATAGAAGTGTCAATTTCAAAAGAAAATCCTGTACAAGGAGAGACAAAAGCTAAACGTACAGTTATCAAACAAAACAGACAAAAACTCATAAAACAATATCTGACAAACAATAGAGAATCTGATCTGCTTAACGGTTAATTACTTTTAATAGCAAGGGAAAGATTTTTGGCAATGTTGGGTAAATTAGGAGGCAACATACAAGACATGTTCTGTAATTTTATACAAGCTCCCAAAATTTTTTTTTTGAAGATATGAACTAAAATTGTGTTCACATGTTACAAGGTTCATATAAGCAAAAATGTTTGAAGATGCACATTCAGAGTTACTCTTCAGAATCATCATAAAAAAGCTTTTTTCAGCCTAAGCTTAAGCAAAAGAACACAGTTTCTAGCTAATGGGATGGAAAGACAAAATAAACTGGGGGGAAGAAATCCAAACATGCCCTGAATTCTCTATTCACTCATTTTTCTATAATACCTAGACAGCATTGATGTCTTTGTACCAAATTATGTAAGGAATAAAAGACAACTGCACAATTGCACACAGCCCCAACATTGTTGAATTGAAAATCTCACCAGCCTGATGTCTAAGTCCGAATTTTAATCATTTGTTTCATCATCTGAATCAGAAGACTCAACTTTCTTTTGGGAGCACCTGCAGGCTGGGACTTAATGGCTGCTGCTTTCTTAGTTGCAGGAAGATCATCTTCTGAGCTGCTGCTATCCTCCAAAATCTGTTCTATTATTTCCTGTTGTTATTAGTAATGACAGCTAATGGTTTAGTACTCTTAAATTTTTCATTCTGTCGCCCTAGGGTGCATGAAAATATGAATTTTATGCAATCAGCTGGTTGTAACATGTAACAGGAACCCAACAGACTTTTACTATTAAATGGCAAGAACTTACAACCTATGGACTTAATACTCACAAGAGAACTTACAACTGATAAGAAAAAAATGCAAGGAAAAAAAATTCAGTTGATAAGTGATAGGTGAAACCAAATGAACTTACAACTGAAATTTGTGAACGCTAAACTAGAAGCTCTTCTGCACCAATTCTTTGAAAGTGCAATTAAACCCCTAAAGAAATTTGGCAATCAAAATGAAAAATATACAGATTATCCAATCTCTTGAATACTTGTAGGGGAAAATATTACACACAGAAAATGAGTAATTACCTTTAGTAGGAAGCATTGTAGAGGAAAATGAGGAAGAACTGTGGAGTTTTTTGTGAGCAGTGTTCTTAATGTATACAGAGACACAAACTTTATTAGTTGTTAGGAATTTTTCTTTAACAGTCGATAATTTGCCAACTGGCCAACAAAAAGGGATAATTGCAGAAACCTCCTTGACTTTTATAGTAATAGCATTGATCTCCCGTAGCAATTTTGAAATAGCACTGACCACCCCTATCAAAAGTTGGAGGCAATTCAATAGGCAAAAGTGGGTCAATTTACTAAAGTTCCCTTGACATGATTTAATTTTACCAAATGAATGTGATGAGTACTTTCATCAAACCCAACAAAACATTTGTTAATAAAAATTACACTAAATTAACTATTTCTACATAGTTTAACTAATTAACTAAATAACTAATAATCTAATTAATTAATAACTAATTATCTAATTAACTATTAACTAATTAACGAATTATCTAATTGTTAATAGTTATTAACTAATCAAACTATTTCTGCATAGTTAAACTAATTAACTAATTAACTATTAATTATTAACTAATTATCTAATTAATTAATTAACTAATTAACTAATTTCTATTTATCTAATTAACTAATTATCTAATTAACTAAAGCTGTTGTCTGTCCGAAACTAACAAACTATTTGCATGTTAAACTAATTAACTGCTTAACTACTTAACTACCTAATTATCTAATTAATTAATTAACTAATTTTTGTTTATCTAATTAACTAAAGTTGTTGTCTATCCGAAACTAACAAACTATTTGTATGTTAAACTAATTAACTGCTTAATTAAACCTGTTGTCTATCCGAAACTAACAAACTATTTGCATGTTAAACTAATTAACTGCTTAACTAATTATCTAATTAATTAACTAATTTCTGTTTATCTAATTAACTAATTAACTAAATCTGTTGTCGACCTGAAACAAACTATTTGCATGTTAAACTATATGCAATACGCATTATCTATTTAAAATATCGGCTCTTTATGAGTATTTTACTTTCAAACATTTAATTTATGATAAAACATCAATGTTTGTAAGTAAAATTCAAAAAGTGTTACAGTAATATCAATATTCTCACTTTCAAACATTTAATTTATGGCCATATGCCCCTCCCTTTTTATAAGAATATTAGTGTAACACTTTTTAAATTTTACTTACAAACATTGATGTTTTTATCATAAATTAAATGTTTGAAAGTAAAATACTCATAAAGAGCCGATACTTTAAATAGGTAATGCGTACTGCATATAGTTTAACATGCAAATAGTTTGTTAATTAGTTAATTAGTTAAGCAGTTAATTAGTTAATTAGTTTAACATGTAAATAGTTTATTAGTTTCGGACAGACAACAACTTTAGTTAATTAGTTAATTAGATAATTAGTTAATAGTTAATTAGTTTAACTATTAACTAATTAGATAATTAGTTAAGTAATTGTCAAGCAAATAATAATTGTCAAACAAGTAAGGGCAAAATTGAAAGAAAATTCTTATCTCACTTCTACAAAAGCTGTTAAGGAGGTTTCTGCAACGAATTGTTACTGTTCAGGGGAGGTGAATGCAATTTCTAAATCTAGACGGGAGGTCAGTGCAAATGTCAGAAATCTCAGGGGAGGTTTCTGCAATTATCCCAAAAGGAAAACAAAAGGACAAAACTATATTCCTAGAAATGGTATTAGCCATCATGAACACAATAGATAATGATGCAAAATGGATGAATTGTTAGAGATTTTTCTTCTCACTCTTGATAATTTCTCAACTGGCAAACGAAAACAAAGGAAAAGGACAAACCTATATTCCTAATAATTGGTAGAAATCATACCTCATACTTGATTTTTGTGGAACAATCCCACAGTTGGGATATGGATGGGCAGCCATAATTGACTCTCTGTGGAACAATCCCATGGTTGGGATATGGATTAGCAGCCATAATTTGAGGAAAAAGATCGTCAAATTGTTGACCAAGTGTTGGAGGAGTTCAATTGGTACTTTTGTTTGTCAGAACCAGAAAGAAAATGAAAGAGAGAAAAAGGAACGGAAGTAGAGAGAGAGGAACAAA